GCTCACCCCGGCCCCTCACTCATCCGGCCCCCCATTCCCTGCTCACCCCGGCCCCCCACTCCCTGCTCACCCCAGCCCCTCACTCCCTGCTCACCCCAGCCCCTCACTCCCTGCTCGTCAGGGCCCCCCATTCCCTGCTCGTCCAGGTCCCTCACTCCCTGCTTCTCCTGGCCCCTCACTCCCTGCTTCTCCTGGCCCCACTCCCTGCTCACCCCAGCCCCTCACTCCCTGCTCACCCCGGCCCCCCACTCCCTGCTCATCCAGGCCCCTCACTCCCTGCTTGTCCGGGCCCCTCACTCCCTGCTCACCCCGGCCCCCCACTCCCTGCTCGTCCGGGCCCCTCACTCCCTGCTCGTCCGGGCCCCCCACTCCCTGCTCGTCCGGGCCCCTCACTCCCTGCTCGTCCGGGCCCCTCACTCCCTGCTTCTCCTGGCCCCTAACTCCCTGCTCACCCCGGCCCCCAACTCCCTGCTCATCCGGGCCCCTCACTCCCTGCACTTCTACTCTGTCCCACAGGGTCACTGTGGCTTGGAATTGACTCAGTGGCAAAGCTCAGGTTTGGTTTCATCAATGGAAGCAATACCACAAAGCCTCTTCCACCCCCCACATGGACTCATCACAACACCCTCACCCCGTCAAAAGTGTTCCTATTTGGGGCGGTCCTGTGACAGGCACTCAGGCAGCAGTGGAGACGGGGCCCATGTCTCCTCTTGTCGGGTGAACTGCATCCTCCTCCCTGTCCTAATGCCCAGAGGTCACAGCACCAGCATCTTCCGGAACCAACGCAGCACTCGGCACTCTCCAAGGGGGCCACTCCAAGCTGGAGGCACGCGCCATCCTAGAGGCCTAGACAGGAACGATCGTCCAGTGCACATGGCCACAAACATGGCAGACGAGGGAAGGGAACTGCTGGCTCTGACCGCACCTCCAATCAAGGACAGCTGCACAATCAGGCCACAGCCAGCCTTTTAGCTCAATAAGAAAGTACTAAAACTCTGTGTAAGACAGCAATAGTCAAAACAGGACCTCCAGTGTAGAAAACAAGCCACTTCTGCTTTCAGCCAGATGATTCTGTGCTTGTGGAGATGGTCATTGTTAAAGGACCAGTGCCTGTGGCCTCCCCTCACTGAAGGTCAGGTACATCGCTTCTTCCCAGCTGAGAGCTGCTGGTTTACAGGCAGATCCCTGGATGTTGCACACCGCCTTCATACAGACCAGCCTGAGCAGCACAGAGCGGGCAGCCCCCAGGAGCAGAGCATCCTTCAGGTCAGATGCTTCCAGTGCAATGATTGGTGGCTTCCTGGAGCTCTGTGCTCGGAGATCTGGGCTGGATGGCAAAGAGGGCCACCATTGATTGGTGATGTCTGCTGTGTGTACAGACAGGTCTCGGAGAGGGTGCAGCCGGAGTGCTCTCTGGAGGCACAAATGATGAGGCTTTGCCTCACGTCCTTTGAGCACATTGCTAAGAGGGGCTATTCCTTGGAGATGGACATGATGCTGGGAAAAGAGTGGAGGGTTGGTGACGGAAAAGATGACCTTCATCCAGGTGGACTGACACGGTGACTGCTGTAATGGGCTTCTGTGTGTCAGTCAGGGTTAGGCTGGTGTAGGACAAAACAGGGTTCAGATCTTTGGTTCTTAGGGTCACTATGAGTCATACTCGACTCAACAGCACCCAATAACAACTCCACGCCGTGTGTAAGGGAAGGGTTAGGGTAGCGGCACAGTTTCCCCCTTTGTCATATACAAGGCCTGGTGGGATACTACTTGCAATGCTTAGCTGCCAACTTCAAGGTGTGCAGTTCGAACTCCCAACTGCTCTGCAGGAGAAAGGGGTGGCAATCTGCTCCCGTAAAGTTTTATAGCTCTGGACACCCCACGGGGCAGGTCTGCTCTGTGCAAGGGTTGGGGTGACTTGATGACAGTGTTTGTGTATTTTCTGTAGTTCAGGGAGTTCAGCACGCCAGTTACCCAGAGGGCTTTGAAAACACACCCCCATCAGGGCCCCAGGTCAGATTCTGAGTCAACAAGTCTGAGCCCAGGTCTCTGATCTTTGGATTTTAAATGCTCCACACACGGTTCTGAAGAGGACCCCAAAGGTGAGCCTTTCTGCCAACGACTGCTGAAAAACACCCGGGCTTTTGTGCCCCAACACCTGATGTTCACTTCTGAGTCAGGCACCTTTCATCCTCCGGCATCTCGGCGGGTAAATCCACAGACATCCCACGGGAGCAGAGGCTGTGCAGAGAACTGCTTACAAACTTCATCTGAAGGCTGGACACACACATCCAGGAACTCTGCTGAGCAGTCATCTCTGCAGATTTTGTTCACTGTCCGAGGTCTGTAGTACCTCCGGCAGACCTCAGAGACACTGCAAGTCTGGTCCCTGAGCACCAGGAAAAAGGGAGCACTGCGATAAAATGAATCGCATGCCGTTTGGGGGGGTTCTCCGAGCATAAGCCTTGTCTGTGCTGTACTGTTCTGCTCTAGGTGGACAAGAGTGTGATGCAAACGTCTGAAACACCGCGAGAATGACCAGGGCGGGCCACAGAGACAGGAGTGAGCACGTGTGCTGGGAAAGTGGGATCAACAGACTTGCAGGATACGGGGCAGCCGTAATGCTATTCTCTGGGAAGCATGAGAAGGGAAGCTCCACAGAGCAAAACGTGTCTGTCCTCAGCGTGCCGAGGCTTTACCTAGAAGCCACCCAGAGTGCGGGACAGCAAACATCTGAGAGCTCAGCCCCACCCTAAGGACCTCTACTTGCCTAACTAATGGTGCTATTCTTTGATTCTCACCATTTTCTCAGACATCCAGACACCAGACCTCTGGGGGGGGGGGGGGGTCTACAAACATCACCGGGTGTCTGGCATCCACAGACATCTGCAGATACCAGCCCTCTGGGGGTCTACAAACATCACTGGGCACCTGGCACCCATAGACACCAGCCCTCTGGGATTTACAAACATCACCGGGCACCTGGCAC